AGAATTGTACATTCAGGTCGTATATATTGCAGCTAAATAGGTACGATAATTCCATATGGAAACCAATCAGAAACAAAAGTAAACCCCTACAACAAAACCCTCCTCTGAAAATAACCAACCAAAACGGATTCATTTGGGCAAAAAGCAACGAAGAAAAAGCGGAGGCATTTGCTGATCATCTGAGTAGCATTTTTAGCGCTCGAAATATTTCCCAGAATAATTTAATTAACAATTTCGTAAATCAACCCATACATTCTACACCGTTAGGACGTTTTTCACCAAATGATGTCTTATGTGAAATAAAAAGGATAAAAAATAGATCTTCGCCAGGTATGGATAAAATTACTCCAAAGATGTTAAAAGAATTGCCTACAAATGGTATCTTATATATAACAAATATTTTCAACGCCATACTTCAATACAATTATTGGCCCACAGCGTGGAAGACTGCAGAAATTATTATGATCGCTAAACCAAACAAAAACCATCACACTGCTAGTTCATACCGTCCTATCAGTCTTTTATCGATATTATCGAAAATTTTAGAGAGACTTTTGTTGCAGAGATTGTCAGAAGATCATCCGAATGATAGTTGGATTCCTCACCATCAGTTTGGCTTCAGAAAAAATCACTCTACAATTCAACAATGCAACAGAACGGTGTCTCGTATTCTTGAAGCCATGAATAGAAAGGAACACAGTGTAGCCGTATTCTTAGATGTCAGTCAGGCTTTCGATAAGGTTTGGCACTCAGGACTCCTATATAAAATCAAAACAACTTTTCCAAACTACTTCAATATCTTAAGCTCATATTTGCTTAATAGAAAATTTAGAATCAAAATTAAAGATGTGACTTCGAGCATCAGAAATATAGAATGCGGGGTACCACAGGGCAGTGTGCCAAGCCCTGTACTTTATCTTCTTTTCACAAACGATATGCCCACAGATGATCTTCTAACCATATGCACTTACGCCGATGACATAGCAATTATTTCATGCAATTCCGATATTAGAACAGCAACTTGTCAGTTACAAAATTATTTATTTAGTCTCGAAAAATGGTTTTTAGATTGGAATATCAAAATCAATATCGAAAAATCTCAGCACATAATTGTTTCTCTAAAACATCACAACAGTCCACCTATCATCATGAACAATTCAATAATTCCACTATGCAATTCTGTTAAATATTTAGGCATGCACATTGATTCGAAATTGACATGGAGAACGCACATTGAATATAAAAAGAAACAAATCCAACTGAAAATAAAAGATTTTTACTGGCTTTTTGGGAGGAAATCTGAAATCTCTCTCGATAACAAGGTACCTTTGTATAAAACTATCATAGTGCCCATTTGGACTTATGGAATCGAACTATGGGGTTGCTCTTGCAAATCTAACATAAACATCATTCAAAGGTGCCAGAATAAAATTCTGCGTACCCTTACTAATGCGCCTTGGTATATTTCGAATTTTTGCCTACATAAGGATTTGAAAATCTCAACAGTCAACGAAATGATCAGGATTAGAAGTTCATCTTTTAACAACAAATTAATCCAGCATACAAATCCTACAATTCAAGCGATTCAGAGACCGATAAGAAGATTGAGCAAGAAATGGCCTTCCGATCCACCAAACTCCTAGCCCAATGTCTGCACGCGTCCTGACGTAGTACGCGGCATACATCATCACGTCATCGTTCATTTATGTTATTATTTTTGTATTACTGTTTTAATTTAATTTTTATTTCAACTTTTTTTTTGTATTTTTTTTTTGCTCATATCAATTTTGTAAATAAGACATTAAAGTCTTGATTAACAAAAATAAATTGTAACAAAAAAAAAAAAAAAAAAAAAAATGTTTATTTGTGTGTTTGGCTTTTTGTCATGTTGAAAAATATATATTTTACCACTGTGCACTTACTAATACTTGAAGTAAAAATGTTTTCATCTGCTGTATTATGATACAAAAATGTAAGTGTTTTTTATTATTCTTATTGTTTTTCTATGAAATTTATTACATATTTTGTTTTTATAGTTATATTTATTGCCACTGTATGAAGGCTAAGATGCGAGCCGAAACGTATGGATTTTAAATAAATTTCTAAAAACTGTTATACTATTTTTATTAATGTAAAGCCCGACTATTAAACTCAAATAAAACTAGTGGGGTGTATGGCATCGTGCCTTAAGGCAAATTGCTGGAACTTCCCGTACCGTAACGGAATGTGCGAGGAATACTGAATGTTTTCAAATAGACTATTATTATTATTGTATCATTGTCTAATATTTATAAGAATTATGTAAACTTAGAATTAGATTATAAAAACTGAGAATAAATTATATAAACTTAGAATAAATTGCAAAGTTGAAACTATTCGTTTAAAGTATATTAGAACTATAGTTAGAATTAAAAAATATATGTGAATTATTTTCGATATACAAAAAAAATTGAAAAAAAAATTTGAAACAATTTTTTTTTCCAAAATCAATTATTTTGTTAAGACAAGCAAAAAGTTCTTTGAATCATTTAAATCGGACGCTTAGTTCTCTCAAAAACTGCCATTTTTTGCACATTTAGCTCCGTATCTTCGAAATTGCTAGGCCTGCCTTTGCCAAAAACTAATAAATACTTCTCCCAATCATTACTAATTGAATGTTTTTTAGATCATTCAAATTGGATACTCCGTTCTCTCAAAAAGTCGATTTCTACTTTTTGCAATCTTTGCTCCGTATCTCCGAAACGGCTGGACCTGCCTTTGCCAAAAACTAATCAGCTCTTCTTCCTAACAATAAGTATCGAATGTTTTGTGAACCATTCAAATCGGTTGATCCGTGCGCCCGAAAACGTGACTGGAAATTTGTATCCATACATACATACACACACACACGTTCAAAAACCTTCAAAACGTCGAGAAATGAACTGTGATGAACGTGAGAAATAAACTGTTAATAAACTGTTATTATAATTTAACATACGCGTTTCATTGGTAAAATACCAAAGTGGTGACCCCGACGTGATTTAGTGTGTGTGTGTGTGTTAATTTTAAATGAATTCTCGTGCGAAAAAGTTAAGTGCAGTGGAAAACATGAGTACGCCAGTAGTAGTGCTCCGCAATAATGTAAATTTGCCACATTTTTACGAGCACGACCCAGAATTGTGGTTTGCTTTAGCGAAAAGTGTGTTTGTACACGCTAATGTGAAGTTCAAAATTTCATACGGTCATTAGTAAGTTGGACCTGCGGTATGCGTCGAAAGTTCGCAATATAATTCTGAAACCCCCTAAAGATAATCCATATAGGTGTTAAAAAAGGAATTGTTAAAACGGTATGGCATTTCCGATGAAACAAAGCTACGCCAGTTGTTGGAAGTTCAGGAAATGGGTGATAGAACCCCATCACAGTTTTTACGGCACCTACGCTCGTTAGCGGGTTCAGTTGTTTCAAAAGAAATGCTAAACTTAATGTGGTCGTCGCGCTTGCCTACGCATGTGCAAGCGTAAATATCTGTACGGGAAAACAGTGACATAGATTTGAATGCGAAAGCCGCCAACAGAATTATGGAATTGGAGACAGCATCGGGTGCAACAACAATGGCGATTGCAAGCACATCGTCGCACGCGGATGATTTTTACGGCAACATCGCGTCAGAATTGCGGAATATGCGAACAGAAATTTCTGACCTGAGGAAGCAGGTAGAGCGCTGACGAGACGGTTCATCCCTTCTTCGTAGGCGCAGATCGCGTACGCCCGCGAGCGCTCGGTCAGGCTCGGAAGAGCGCGTACGAACGCTGTGCGAGGATCGACGGTTTAGTCGGAACGCAACGAGATGTCGATTGCCGTGCTAGATGCGTTCGGAAAACTCCGTGGGCCTTCGTTATTAGCGGCAAACGATTTACGCCCAGGGAGACAAATAAGCCGCCGTGTTTGCCTAAGTGACAGAAAGAGTCAGGTGTCGTACCTTATTGATACGGGGTCAGACGTTTCAGCGTTTCCGCGCTCATTATTATGCAATCCAAATAGGAAGAGGATTGCATACCAGCTAGCGGCCGCAAATAATACGACGATTGCAACCTATGGTACGGTGGTAATGGTGGTTGATCTGGGGCTACGTCGCGACCTGTCATGGAACTTCATTATAGCAGACGTTACGCAACCAATAATTGGTGTAGATTTTCTCGCATACTACGGTTTGATTGTGGATGTGAAAAATCGTCAAATAACGGATGCTATGACAGGATTAACGGCGCTGGCGGATATTGCAGTGGGATCAATAGCGACTATAAAGGTGGTAACGGGTTCAACGGCGTACCATAAGTTGCTTGAAAAGTTTCCTGGTTTAACACGACCAGACGGCGCTGTTAGGTTACGCAAGCACGCAACGCAGCACCATATAGAAACTAGTCCTGGACCGCCGGTGGTTTAAAAACCGGTAGGGTCCAGGCCCGAGTCCTTGTACCCGATTAGTGTATAATGGTGTGTGTGTTGTGCCAAGAGAGAAGAATCGATCCAGCAAAGGTCAAATTGTATTGTTTAGTAGCTATTCTCTCTATTAGTCCGTTAGTCAGTTAGTCTATTACTCCGCTAGTAATTAATAAATAATTGTTAGTACGTTAGATTTTAGGCATAAGACAGTACGTAGGTAATCATAATTAGGTGAATTAAATAAGATAGTAAGTACATTCAGTTTTATTCATGTAGTTAGTTATATTAGTCTCCACAGGTAATTACAGGGTGTCTTTAGAAGTCGGGTTTAGGTGTTGAAGCAACCCTTTCGTAAGGGGAGTGCAATGCTAAAATCTAATAAGTCGCATTGCAATACCTCAGAAAGAAGCTTTAACCATCTTTCGTCACAATATGGAAACTTACTGATAAAAAGATCATATAAAATTTTGACAAAATAGTGATATTTAGACGAATGGAGTGTAAAACGACAGAAAATAATCTGCCAAATAAATTAAATTAATAAATTACTCAGAAAATAACCTATTATGTTAAATACCTTAAAAGTCTTCCTTCGGCAGCTAATCCTCTTTCAAGGCACCTTCCTAATATCGTTGTATCAATGTTTCCTCCGCACAGGAACAAAACTACTCTGAATAATTAATTTATATTTAGTATATTGCTTAAAATATATTTACAAAATAATTGAGATATATTATATTTATTTGAATAATTCAAATAAATACATTATATAACAAATTTAAATAAATACAATATTACGGCTTTCTCTGCTAATGGATTGTTGTACTTGGCTAAAAATAGGAAAACAAAATATTTAGAATATAAAATGAAAGTTCTACTTTTGACTACCAATAACACAAATGACTCTGAAGATATAATTCTTTTAAATTTATTCAATTTTTTTCTGTAAAATTGGTACCTGTGCATTTTAAAGTATTATATAACAAAAGCAATAACTTGGCTTATTAAACTGGGCGACAAACGTATTCTAGAAACAATTTATGTGTATGTTTACAAAAAAAATATTATTTTTTTTTAATTTTGAATATTTTTCAAAATTTAGATTTTTTCTAAAAGTTTGGAATTTTGGGAATTAAAAAAAAAACGTAAATTTCTAATTTTATTGAGTATTTGGATAATTTTTATAAAATAAAACAACAATTTAATGTAAAAAATATGTACACACACACACATACTTTTTCCAAATTTAGTCTTATTTCGAAAATTTAGTCTAAAGTATATTTTTATCTGTTAAGTATTTCTCGTTTGGCGTTTGTTGAAAGATGTAAGATCAAAACAAATATTTTTATCATATTTTGGACTTTTATTTATGCAAAGAAGAAACGCATCTTAAGCTCACAAAATGGGGCGAGCATAGCTCATCGGTAGCGTGTTCGATTCACACGACAGGTATCTTTGGATCAAATCCTGTCAATGACTTAGAATTTATGAAAAAAAAAATGTGTAGAAATCAAATAAGAATTGTAATTGTTAAATATAATTTAAATAAAAATTAAGAAAATTAGGATTAACAGAATTCGAATAGTTGAATTGAATTAGGAGTAACAAGAGGACTATTGAAAATGGAATAAAGCTGAAAGTTAAATAGAATTAGAAATTTGAAAAAAGAGCAAGAATTGAAGAAAATAAGAAGACGAAAAATTAAGAAGAATATAGAGTAGGATACATAAATAGATTGAAATGATATAAATTAGAATGTAAATAAATAAAAATGTTGTAGGTGGCTAAATGCTCAGAGTAAGCGAGGCCAAATAAAAATTAAAAAAAAAGCTCACAAAATGACAACAAAGTCTCAAAAAACAACTTTGCCAAAATTGCTTAACCAAATGTAATTCTGGTGATTTTTTTAGTTAAAGCTAAATAAGTCCTGATTAATTAGTTGATGTTGTCGGCAATCTAACAGTAATCGATTCAAAGAATGTCAGTATAAAATCTGAGATCTCAAGGAAACAATTTGGCTTTGTTTGAAAACTTCATGAATGAGTAACTCGCAAACTGAAAGAAACGCGTTTAATACGACGCATTATCAGCTATGATTTGCTAAAGGAATGTAATAAAACGTAATTTTAATTGATAACTGGCGCAAAAATAATTGATAGACTCCGCAAAAATAATAAAGCTTCATAGGAATGTTTTTCCACATACATCATATTGTGCTGCCCATGCACCATAGGATTTCTTTTTGTTTCGATTTTTTAAAAAAACTTCTTGAATTAAAAAAAGACGATGATGGTGTCAATTGGTACCCGATTCACTTTCCTGTTACGAAAATCTAGAAGATTTATGAAGGCCATCGACTAAAATGGGCTATATATTACTGATTAAATTATATAATTTAGAGATCTACACTTACTTACTTGTCAACTTAATAACAACAAATTCTCAGCCTGGGTTTGATTTAAAATTAGTGGGGCGCATGGCATCGTGTCTTGAGGCAAATTGCTAGAACTTTCCGTACCGTAATTAAAAATTCACCGAATAAAAATAATCAATAATTGTTTTGAATAATTTCAAATAGATTATTTATCACAAATACATACTGTAAATTTATAAGTTGGATTATTAAATTGGGCGACGAGCGTATTTTATAAACAACTTAAGTTTATGTTTACAAGTAATTTGGTCCTTTTTTAGATTTGTTTTTTTTATGATAATATATATTATAATATCATATATTAATTTTTATAATAGATATACTTTCGAGTTTTTGAAATTTTACTATAAGTTTGAAATTTTGGATTGGTTTATTTGATAAGCATTGAATGTTCAGACAGAGTATATTTAATATATTTACTTGCCATCGCTTGGTTGCTTTTAGAGTCTGAATAAAAAAAACAATTCACGCCTACTGCTTGAGGCCATATTTTCGGCGATTTAATTTTTTCAAATTTTGTACCCAAAACTGATACTTTGATACGTTTGGATGTTTGGATGCAAATTTTTCGCACATTACGTTTTCGAAATTTTTGTCCCGCAGATAATAATTGTTCTTCTGTTGTTTCTGGCGCCAGTCGCCATTATATATATACTAGCTAACCCGACAAACGTTGTGTTGATAAGTAAGGCATTTCTAAACAATTTCTAGAGAATAAAAAAGTACTTTCTTTTAGGAGTGTAAGGATGTGTTGTTTGAATGGTACAGACAATAAGGTATTATAAGCACAATAAACCCTGAAGTCTACATGTATAATAATGAATTGTATTATTCATAATAACAATATTCGTTTATCCATATTGTGTTAATACAATCAAACTGCAAATTTTATACACTTTCTATAGAAATATGGTATAATTCAACCTAAGTTTTTCTTAGTCTTTAGCCATGGACAATCTTCAGTTGATCAAAGTGGTTATATAAAGAAAACTGTTGAATCTCACTCAAAATTAACATTATATTTTATAAAACAATTAAATAGCGTATAGTTAAAATTTATATTAAGGTCTCGTTAACTAAATCACAGTGCTCACAACCCAAAAAACTAACAACAAAAGGAAATACTTTCGTCATGGATTTTCAAAGATTACCGTTTATCTCCCGATAGCAAAGTCCTAAGAATCAAGGTTATAGCTGTTATACCATACATCTTTTCCCCTCTACTTTCAAATATTGTTGTTGAACGATGCTAAACTTTACTGGTTTTTGAGATATCAGTGGAGGACTTTATTAACCCCCGTTCATTCTTCAAAATTAGTGGAAAATAACCATTAGTGAATTATATTTTACATTGCATCATCCAATGATTGTTGAAGTTTTTCAATTGTTGAAGTTCAATTTGTAGAGTGATTTAATAAAACATAACACGTAGAGTGATTTAATAAACACGAGACCTAACTGTGTCTAAAATGCATAGATTTTGAGATATCGTTTGAAAGGAATTACTTCAAGGTTGTAGGTCTTCAAAATTGTAGTGAATCATTCTTCTGCTATACTTGTTCTAGTACCCGAACTGTTGATATATTTAATTAAATGCGAGCATTATAATCAGTTTTTAAAATATTTTATTCCAGAGAACTTGTAATTTTGTGCATTGACATTTTTACAGGTGTGTGTTCTAAAGTTATATTATCAACCGAATCTTCTTATTTAAGTAGTGGTCTGTTATATCTGGAAATAAGTTATTCGACAAAATGTCCCATTTGATCGAATCGATTTTTAATTTAAATAATCTAAATAAAATAATATATTCTAGAAGATGTTATATAGATACTAATGAATACAAAATTATGCAACTAAGACTGAGCCCAATCCATTCAGCCATCATTTCAAAGTTTTACCCCGGATTGTTATAAAGCTATATAAAATTGACATTTTTTCTTTATAAATTTGCTTGAACATATGTACATTCTCTATATGTAAATGTTGTGATAAATTTCAATGTGTTTATTTTAATTTTCCATTTTTGCAACCGTGTATCCAAATTAGTGACTTCTGTATAGTATGCTCGAGAAATAATTGGAAAAAGACCCGATAAATAACAGCATTAGTATCTGAACAACATAAGGAAAAATCTGTAAAAAATTTATTATTACCATGCGGAATATGTTTAAATTTTTTAATTTTGCATTGTGAATTGGAATGCTGGAAAAAGTTTTTTCTATGCATTAGAAGGCCTATTTGGATGATGAAATCATTTAATATAATGCTAGTTCGTCCTTGTTGCCTTATGTGAACTGTGATATTTGTCAAACCCTAAAAATATAAATGTCATGGACCATATAACTTCAAATTCAGTCTAGTATTGTAATGAAGGAATTGTATTATAGATAGATTGTACTATAAATATTTGTGATGATTACTTCCACATCTAATTAAACTGTATTTATGTTGATATCACATGTCATAATGCGATCTTTATAAGCAATGTTCAAACAATTTTGTTTCCGAAGATCTTGTATTTGTATTTACACATAATTGAAATTTTTATGAATATTATTTTCAAAATTACTATCTGTGTTATAATTCAATTTTCTAATTCATATCACTGTCTATTTCAATTCGATGAATTTCAAATTTAGGATCTCAATTTGAATAACCTATATGCAATAATAATATAGTTCAGAAAATGTTTTGGTGACACATTATTCACATTAAATCCATAAATAATTTTACAGCACAGCATTTGAAATAAATAGGATGTGTCAAAAATGAATGCAAAACGCAGTGAGCCAACAAATCGTCACTTGAGAATAAAATAAAAACTTCATATAAAATCAAAATAAACATTCTTATTACCATTTAAAAATATATATTTTCAATGATATTTAAATTTTAAAATTAAAAGCATAACAACACTATCTAACACCAAACACTGAACATAATCTGTTTCAACTTGTCAAAACCATTTGACATATGAGTAGTATTCATCTGTCATTTGAATGATAATATGTAGGAAGCCATTTTGAATCAAGTGCTGTTTACCAAAAATTTTCAAATTAAAAATGTAAAGTTTTTATGCAATTTTGAAATATTATCTAACCTTTCCGACCTTTTCTGGATTGGCACGAGTTTTTCAAGACTAAGACTGGCCAAATGGATTTAGCCATTTTCGAGTTTTACCGAATCATTTGATCGAGAGTTCCATTTTTAAATATAAGACTAGCTGACCCGGC